CAAGCTGATATACAACACACACATTTTTTTTTTTTTTTTTTTTTTTTTTTGTGAAAGTGAACATCCAGATAAGCATTAACCCAGTAATTACTGTTTTAAGATAAATCGGTCTTTATTATCGAGATATAACTGCAAAAGTCACAAGTAAAGTTAAGTTTTGGCAGTTTCTTTTCAGAGAAAGTATTCAGTAGGCCTTTGTCTCTTTATTTCTATTTCAAATTCTTATTCCCTAAAGTGTATAATATATAAGTAAAGCTGGCATTTTTTTAAAATTTAAGGAATCAAAAATATCTTGATATGGGTGAAAATTAAAGAAAGACATATAAAGCAGATTTTTGTGTGTGCATGTGTTCCAGTTTGTACAAGCTTGGGAGCTCAGGGTGGTCCGGTGCCTATTTGCTGTACCTAAAGAAAAGTAGGAATCAGATTGTAATCGGCTGTACATGAATGCAATGCTTTGGATATATAACAAAGGAATTTTTACTTAATCTTATAGTTTCTCATTAACTGTAAATACATTGGTTTAATGAATATTTATTAACTACCTCTTATGTATGGGGCCAAGTTTTAAATACTGGATTTATAGTGGTGAACAGGACATGGTCCAGGCCCTCTATCAAATGCTTGTAGTCTTAATCAACTTTGATTTGCCTTTCATTATTCTTTTGCATAGTAGCAGGCCATGTACTAGGGCTCCTGATTTCTAGTACAAGTTCGTTTGTTCCTTCATTCATTTATCTAACAAATGTTTATGTTCCAGATATTTAGGTAAGGATGTCCTGGGGTTAAGTATTGAATGTCTTCAAATATTTGTTCTTTGGGAATTCAGAGTCTAATTGGGCAGGAAAGGGAAGTAATTAATTCATTATTAAATGATGTGATAAGTGTTTGAATAGTATGTGAAAGAGAAAAGAATGCTTTACTTAGCATATGGGTAGTCAGGAAAGGCTCCTGGGTATAGTGTCTCGAAGAATAAACAGTAATTTATTGGAAATATAGGAGCAGAGGAGGATTGTGGATGTACATTCCAGGAAGAACTTTTTTTAATGTTTATGGAACACAAAGAAGTTCATCGAGGCTACAAGGTCTTATGGGGAGGGTGGACAAAGAACCTGTAAAGGCATATAGATGGCTAGATTACGAATGGTCTTGAATGGCTTCTTTAGGAGTTTAAGTTTATTAAATGAAGGCTGTAGATATAGATTTGTGAGTCATGTAGCATGATAGGGTTTGTGTATTTTTGGAAAGAAAGATTGAATAAGGGAATGTTATTTAATGCAACAATTTAAAAAGCATTGTGTATTTAAAATGTGTTTTTAGTTAGTGTAATGCAGCCAAAATTAAAAAGAAATGAAATATTTTTCTGTAGGTGAAGTTCCTGGACTCTATACTGTGGAAGAATTAGAGCCCTTGCTATTGCCTCTTAAAGATCAAGCTTCACAGGATGGTTTTTTTGGACCAGTCTTCAATTACTTCACATATAGTAAGAGACATAGAATTCATTAATTAGTTCAAACTCTGGTTTATGTGAAATAAATACCATTAAATTTACTTTATTTTCTGATTAGATTGCAAAAGTACCTTAATTCTTGGGTCCATTTGGTAATTTGTGACTTTTTCTTTTCTCTGGAGCTTTTAGACAGTAACATATAGGTAGCCTAGAATAAAAACATTTTAGCAAAGGGGAATGATGAAGGTGTGGTGATGTTCTTTGGAATATTTACCTTACTTTTCTTATTTTCATGTGGCAAAATTAGTGCCACTTTAGTACCTCCTATCTTAGAGAATTATTGGATTACTTAAATTGTTACAGACTTTATAGGTTTTTTTTTAACTAAATAAACTTTTATTAACACAGAAAGTTTTATGTGCATTTAGAAATCTAAAATTGAAATAAGTAAAAATTAAGGCAATAATCATGCCACCAGACCATATTATACTTATATCCTTAGTAAATACTCTTCTTAATCTTTTTTCTCAGTGTGCACACACACACTTACAAGTATTTTTTAACTAAAATAAAACTTATATCTAATATTGTTTCATAGCTTGCTCTTTTTGTTAAACAGCTCCTATTATTCCAGTTCAGAAAATTTTAATCTCAAACCAGACCATATATAGATTTCCTGACTCCATTATTATTTTGTAGTTTTCCATTATTTTAATTTTCTTATATATATTTTAGGAATTCAACAAAACTTGCATATTGTATTGATAATGGATTCATCAAACTTAAACTTCGTAATAAACTGTGAGAGTAATCCAGCTTTGCATAAAAAATGCCAGGTGATTTGGATGGAGAGTTGGTCAGATAGCAGTATGAAGAAAGTAAGTTTAACATTTATTTATAAAAATGAAAAAAAGCACTTTTTAGTTTTGAAATTATTAGTTTTCACAGCTTCTCTTATGTGTTAGTCATAACGTTATCTTAATTGTGGAGTTGAACATCTCTTACATTTTTGAAAATATCTCTATTTTCTTCTTACTGTTGTTTGATAGTTTAATGGAATACAGAATTTTAGGGTGAGGATTATGTTCTTCATTAAGCACCACAGAGATAATTATCATACTTTAAATTATGCCTTTAATTATCTAGTCTATCATAGGCTAGCCTAGAATAAAAAAATCTTAGCAGAATTTTAACAGTTAAAAATTTAAAAAATCTGTTTAAAAAAATTTATTACTGCTATTTATGTGTTTGGAGGATAAGTTTAGAGTGGGAACACATAGCCACATATTATCTGGAAGCCTCTTATTTTGCTTCATTTGAATAAATAATTTTCAACATTTTTTTGAATGATAATCTCAATCACTCATTTCTTTATTTTTCTATAATAGGGGTACAAATAAATGCTTGTTGTGATTCAGAGTAAGGAGTATAGTCTTCGATAAATAGACAAGGTTTTACAAATGAGATTGTATTTTAGTTAGATTTCAGTAAGTAGATAAAGGAGAGGAAAATTATTTTAGTCTGAGGAGGCCACGTGGATAAGAGGCATTCAGTAAGAAATAATTATTGAATGTTAAATGTGTGCCACTGTTCTATAAGTTGGGGATGTGACAGAGAAAATAACAGACAAAAAACCAGCCACAGCTAAAAACTAGATAATTTTAAAAATTAT